ACGTTACATGGGACTTACCTGAAACCTTGGATCAGTCCGGTAGAATCCGGGACAGTTGAGAGGCATGATTATAGTGTGGAGGAAACTGATCAAGAAAGCAGTAAAGCTGACCCAAAAACAGTAACGCTCATCCAGGCAGCAGTGAAATTGGACCCAGCAATAGAAATGATAACCACAAAGTAGCAAACAAGGCAGGTGTACCACAAGAATGACTGGCCAAATTGACAAATCATTTGGCAAGTGCGCTGGTAAACATATATGTATTTCAGCTCTGTGTTTACCCCTTTGTCTGGAGTTCAACTTTATCTTAGTACAATAATAGGTAGCATACAGGGTATACAATTTGTGTCTGTAATTTATTGAATTTGCATTTGTAAAATAACGCTGATGGGGATGGAAGCAACTAGGAGATCTCACCTACTTATAAACAATGTCATATAGATCACCATTTTTGGCTTATTCCAGATTTGTTTATATTGTAAATTCAGGCTTGGCCTAAGAACATAGGCCAGATCATAGATAAAAACAATGAAGCCCCTGTATCTTAATATCCCAAAGATATAAAAAAAAGTCTAGAGTGCTGGGGAAACATTTGCTAGTGGACTACATTTGGTGAATAAAACAGCCAACCTTATGCTTATGCAAGCCTTTAACAGCTTTATTGTAAAGGGAACCTGTCATGGAGAAAATTACCTTGTGTGGAAGCTCTGATGGATGCAGACTATATGTCTCCTGAGCGTCATACTAGTTTTGAGACAGTAAAACTAAATCAATCCACTGCCTTGGAAATAACAGCGTGTTAGTTGGGGAAAAGGTGTTTCCATTAGATGCATTCCTCACAGGTGTTATTTTGGGGACAGAATCCCTCAAAGCCAAGTATTTTCCCTGAGGGAACAAGAAAAACTACAGATATTATCCTCAAGTCGATAGTTTCCTCATTGCCAGAAAAAACGAGAATGTAACTCTTGGAAATGCCCTGGGTAGGTTTGGTTCCAGGCAGAATTCCACAGAGCACACAGACAATATATATATAATTGTATAATCTGACTCTTTTTTCCCACTCTGTTCAAATGAGAGATAATGAAAGTCATATGCCAATGTTAAAAAAATGTTTCTATGGTAACACAATACTTTGCTTATTTCCTACTGCACTGTCATTAAATATATTGGCATTTGTCTTAGCAAGTGCAAGCTACAACTACTCAATCAGTCTAAGTGGATCATTTGTGAAGTCATGACAAATGTAGCAAATGTAATGTGTAAAAGAGGTAAATAAGGCTGTTACTACTCCTTCAGATTTAACTAGGTTGGTGGTGTAAAGAGGAACTGTGACATGCAGAGTGGAGTAATATATAACAACACTGGAGGATTGGCATGTGGAAATCCATGGGGTCGTGGCAGTGGAGTAACAGTGGAACTGCGGGTGGAGCATATTTCTAGTCTTCTCATTTTTAAAAAATACATTTATCTTTACACATACAAATAGGAAATGAATGAAAAGGGGGATTACAACATTGAGCCCCCCTTTTCTTACGGAACTGTGGCAGGATCAAGTTTCAAATCTCCCCACTGTATGTATGTATGTATGTATGTGTATACTATATATATATATATATATATATATATATATATATATAAGTGGAGAGACTTCTATAGGGTCAGCAAGTTATAAGTCCCCCCTTGTGCCTGAAGCTAAAGGGGAGCCTTTTAGACGTTTGTTAAAAGTTTCAGGCCCCCCCCACTAGCCCTTGGATAATGAGGGAGCATCTGGAGAGTAGGAGTTTTAAGTCCCCCACTGCACCTGTGGTGCGTGGTGTGACACCTGGAAGGCAAATGATCTATCTGAAGTGACCAGTAGAGCTTAGGGGGACTATAAAAAGTGAGTTCCGATCAGGGCTTTTTATTCTCAGAGAATAGTTACAGGAACTCCCCGCTTCTGAGCCATTTCTCCGCCCCCTACCCATCTCTGAGCACCATTCCTTGGGTCCACCTCCCACCTCCCACCGCCTCTTTTAGAGAATATACTGTAGATTAAAGTATCATTTTGTGGTGCCAAGTAATTTGTATGGAATTTATTAATGGTAGCAAGAAAAACAGTAAAATAGATCCCCCACAACCAGCAGGAGAGACCCCCCCCAGCAACAATAGACCCCTGCAACAAAATACCACCCCAGCAACAAACAATAGACCCCTAGCAGTAACAACAGATCTCCCAGCAGCCAGCATCAATAGACTCTTCAGCAGCTAGCAACAATAGACCTCTCCCTCAACAATAGATTCCTTCCAGCAACAATTGAACATAACCCCCCCCACCAGCAACAAAATCTCCCCCAGCATCCAGCATCAATAGGCCCTTTAGCACACCCCTTCCCATTACATACATTCAGTACTGGAGGTGCCGAAACTGTGTTCCCCCACTTTCCCACTGAAAGAAAAGCTCAGGTTTCGTTCCTCTTGGTGCAGCCCCCTGGGAGGCATCTCTGTGGGGCTTCCCTCCAAACCATCCCTTTTGTCACGGCCAATTATTATTTGGTAAGGTCGCCTTTAATCAAAAGGCGACAAGTCAGTAAGTTTACTTTAGATGGAGTAAGATTGTCAAAGAATATGAAGATGGTTAATAAGTTGTTGTTTTTGATATGGACACCTTTAGTTATGGTAACTAAGCAGTGGTTAAGTGGTGATAATTTAAGTAAAATGGTTAAAGTGTTACTAAATCCACAACAGTAAAATAAGTCTGTATATGCAGTAAAGTTATACTCACTGCGGAACCTAAGGGGTTAATCATCTGTATTGTGTAAAAAGGCAGTTTGATCCTGATTTCTCTGTTCCTCCTCTTGTTTAACCAATTCGATGCCGGGCAATTTTACACCTTCCTGCCCAGGCCAGTTTTCAGGTTTCAGCGCTCTCACACTTTGAATGACAATTGCGCGGTCTTACAACACTGTACCCAAACTAAAATTTTATCATTTTCTTCACACAACTAGAGCTTTCTTTTGGTGGTATTTAATCACTGCTGGGGTTTTTATTTTTTGCTAAATTAACAAAAAAAGACCATACATTTTGAAAAAAACACACGTTTTTCTTTGTTTCTGTTATAAAAGTTTGCAAATAAATAATTGTTCTTCATAAATTTAGGCCAAGATGTATTCTGCTACATGTCTTTGGTGAAAATAACCCAAATTAGGATGTATTTTTTAGTTTGTAGGAAAGTTATAGAGTTCACAAACTATGGTATAGATCTGAATATTGATCAATCCTGAAATACTGACAGCCAATCTAATTTCTTGAGGTCCAAGAATGTCAGAACAGTACAGATATCCCCCAAATGACCCCTTTTTGCATAGTAGACAGTCGGACATACTTCATAAGAGGCATGGTGAGTTTTTTGAAGTTGTATTTTTTTGTCATACTTTTTCGGAAAATGAAAAAATTAAAAAAATTAGTTTCACTATTTTTTTTTACATATTGTCACCAGTGCAGTACATCATATAACTGTCATGGCAGTGATCAGGGACACTGACTGGTGACAGTATGAAAAAAAATATATATATATATATATTTTTTTATTATTATTTTTTATTAATTTCTTTTCTTTTCTAAAATTTCTTTTTTTAAGATTTTTTTTTTTTCATATTTCACTATGACCAAAGTAGTACAATGTTACCATAGTAACATTGTACTACTTTGGGGAAGTGATCAGTATTTTTATTTTTTTTTACACAATTTGCTTATAGCAAAGAATTACTTTGCTATAAGCAAGCATTTACCTGAATGACATCGATTCATTCAGGGTTTTTTTTTTTTTTTTTTTTTTGTGCTTAGCTGTGATTTGGCCACAGCTAATCACATGACATGTGCATGTGATTAGCTGTGACCATTCACAGCTAGACACTAGTATACAATGGATGGCATGAATGAAGCCATCCATTGTATACAACTGTCATGTGACCTGCTGTGATTGGTCACAGCAGGTCACATGGTACCGGCAACGGGGGCCGATACTCAGATCTGTCATCGGCCGTGTCCGAGGTACACGGCTGGTGACAGATCGCGCCGCTGCGTGGCTCTGCAGGAGCGCAATCTGCTCATGTGCGGGAGGACGCCATATGGCGTCCACCCGGAACGCTGATGACATTTGCCGGCCACCATTCGGCCATAGGGTGGGGCGGCAAATAGTTAAGTGACCACCTGTTACCGCCTGATAAGACAGACTGAATGGTAGGCATTTTGCACATGCTCAGTTTGATGTATATTGCTAGAGAGGTTTTTTTTTTGGGAGACTGCATGTGATCAGCACAGGACCAATCAGCACTGGTCATACAGAGGTCAGGGGTTCTGCATCCTTCTAGAGCAGAAAGAAAACTCCTACAAGCTTTAGCTAGTGCTTGGCTGAACACTGATAGAAGCCACAAGACTGCTCTAACATCTGATGAGAAAAGGTATTTAGCAGGTTATATTTACTAAAATAAATGCACTTCCATGTTCTGTGTACTGTGGGAGACCAGATATAGTGAATGCAGGGTCCTGGGTTTAGTAACACTTTATTATATTCATACTGATTTACTATAAACAAATAAAGATTTTATTGAAAGCCCAGTTATTTATTCAAAATAAAAGTTATGTCTTTTGTTAGTTAACTTCTTGCCGACCGCGCATAGCCGAATGACGGCTTCACCGCGGCCGGCCAGTTCTGAGTGGACATCATATGACGTCCTCCCAGAACACGCTCTCCTGCGCGCCCCAGGGGGCGCGCACCCGGCGATCTCCGTGATTGCTGTGTCCTACGGACACAGCTGATCACGTGATGTGGTGAAAGGCCGATCCCACCGACCTTTTACCACGTGATCAGCGGTGTCCAATGACACGCTGATCACAGGGAAATGCAAGTGCCGGTTCTCGGCTGCACTTTCCTCACGCTGTCAGATCGTGAGGAAAGTACTGCCGAGAACCGGCAGTTGTCAGAGCGGGGATCGGCACCGATCATCAGGGCACTGATGATCAGTGCCCTGATGATCGGTGCCCAGCAGTGACACCCGCAAGTTCCGCCCAGCAGTGCGCCCACTAGCCCCGCCCACCCGTTCCCAGCAGTGCCCCCACCTGTGCCCAGCAGTGCCCCCACCTTGTGCCCAGCAGTGCCCCCACCTGTGCCACTCTGCAGTGCCACCTACCTGTGCCCAGAAGTGCCACCTACATGTGCCCAGCAGTGCCACCCACCTGTGCCCACCCACCAGTGCCACCCACCTGTGCCCACCAGTGCCACCCACCTGTGCCCACCCACCAGTGCTGCCCACCAGTGCCACCCACCAGTGCAGCCCAGCAGTGCTGCCAGTCAGTGCCACCAGTCAGTGCCCAGGGTTTGTGCCAGTCAGTGCCGCCAGTCAGTGCCCAGAAGTGATGCCAGTCAGTGCCGTCTATCAGTACCCATCATCAGTGTCACCTATCAGTGCCGCCTATCAGTGCTGCATATCAGTGCCGCCTATCCGTGACCCCTAATTAGTGCTGTCTATCAGTGCCGCCTATCCGTGCCACCTCATTAGTACTGCCTATCAGTGCCCTTTAGTGCTGCCTATCAGTGCCCATCAGTGCCGCCTATCAGTGCCCATCAGTGCTGCCTCATCAACGCAAATCAGTGAAGAAGAAAAAATACCTGTTTGAAAAATTTTATAAAAGAAACAAATAAACTTTTTTTTTTTTTCCAAATTTTTTGCACTTTTTTTAATTTATAGCGCAAAAAGTAAAGCGCCCAGTGGCGATTAAATACCACCAAAAGAAAGCTCTATTTGTGAGAAAAAAATGATCAAAATTTCATATGGGTACAATGTTGCATGATCGCGCAATTGTCAATCAAAGTGCGGCAGCACTGAAAGCTGAAAATTGGCCTGGTAAGGAAGGGGGTATAAGTGCCTGGTAGGCAAGTGGTTAATAGCATACCGTCTGCTGTCCCATAAATACCATCTCTCCCAACCTTCCCCTGACCTATCTCCAAACTGAAACATTTCAAGTATACATACATGCCTTAATTGCAAATGTCTTCAATGCAGTCATGTCCAGTGTTGGATGAGCTACATTGCCACATACATTGGCACTCACATTGAAACTTTGTGACATGTGAGCATCCTTCTATGCAGCATTAACCTGTGAGCCTAGGATGCCCGATGACACTAAGAACAGGTTGTGTGTCACTGACAGTCAGGGATCACTGGTGGGTCATTCAACCCAAATGTGGCTGTGGAGGTACAGAGCAAGAAGAATGGAGACAGCAGCACTTGAGTGTGGAGAAGATAAGTAATACTTTACCATTTCACTTGTTAAACACAAAGAGAACCAAACAATGGTATCATAATATCATATAGTTTTTAATCAGGTAGTTTTTTTTATTGAAACAGAGTTCAGTTTTTACATAAAGTAGGTTTGATCAACCCATAGACAAAAAAAGAAAAAGAGCAGAAGAGAAGAGTTGCACAGCAAGCATTTTAAATGATGCAAATATCATTCTTGATCACCTTAAAGCCTAGTACACACTATGAAATAATTAGACGGCCGACTGTTTGACCTTCCATGCAAGTGCATTACGTGATGTAGTCGGAACGGTATTGACTTGTTAGAAAATTCTTGTCCGACAAATGCAAATGTAGGCAAGCGTAGCAACGTGCTACTGTAGTAGAAGAGGAAGTGTAGGGTTGTTCTATGCTTCTGATCATGTAGATTTTTTTTCTATTTGATTATTTCCATACAATTACTGTACACATTAAATGAAAATCTGATCGTTTGATTTTTCCAGGCAAGTGTGTATCATGATGTAGTCTGAATGGTACTGACTGGTAAGAAAATTCTCGGCTGACAAAGGCAAATGTAGGCAAATGTAGCTACATACTAGTATAGTAGAAGAGGAAGTATAGGGTTGGTTTATGCTTCTGATCATGCAGATTTTTTTCTATTTATTTCCGTACAATCACTGTACATATTAAGTGAAAATCGGACGATGTGTTTATATACGATAAATATTTTCTAGCTTGCACCCTCTATTATTGTAATCCGAAAAGTCAGCTGTATTATACTATCGATCGGCTGATTGTTCCTCGTAGTGAAATTTTCCCACAATTTTCTTATCATGCGTATCGGCCATAAAAGTATGATAGGACCACTGGTATTACTGATATATTGATTGTCTGACATATAGAAAGAAGGTTGGATTATTTTGATGTTACAGATATTAAATATGTAATTACCACATAGGACAATGTGATGACATTTATTAGTTTTTGTATGTAGGCTTGTGGGTCTGATGGATCTAGTGTGGTTTACCCTCTGGTTACCTGGTTAATTCACTACAATAATCTATGTAGTGTGTGCATGGGGGGGCAGTGTAGGGGAATCTAGCCATTGGGCTGATAGCTTATAAATATTTTGGGTGGGCTCTCTGTGCTGTCACGTACGTTTTTTCCTCTTCAAAATGAAGTTGATGGAATCTTCACACTGAGTAATGATGGAAGGGGTAGGTAAGAGCTATTTGTGTGCAATCAATTTTTGTAGAATAACCTTGTACCAGTTAATTTCAAAGATTCAGGAACAATTGATTCAGGGATGATGCCCAGAATTATATATTAGAAAAACTAAAGTTTGAATTTAAAGCCTTTCATAGAATTAGCCCTTTAAAGCCCAACTCTAGGCTGCTGTTAAATTTATGAATGCTTATTTGGTGAGTGGAGAAAGGAATAAGTGCAAATACCTTATTGCTTGCTTCCCTGGCAACTGGTGCTTGCTTCCATTGTCCAACACTCTGGAATGTGGGCAGGCCCTTCCTGTACAATGCAGGACTGTTGGTCCTGCAAAGTATGTGATGATGTCAAAGAGCTCCAACTGGCCATGAAGTGAAGTGAAGCACCTTTGGGTTACACAGGAAAGCTGCAGGACAATGAAACATATTAAAGTATATGTGAACTCTCAACTTGTAAAATAACTCATTTAGTTTAAAATAGCAATTAAAGGCAAACCATTTATGTATAGATATGAAACAACATTATAAATATCCTTTTTCTCTTTTTTATGTAATCGCATACCCTCTATCCTGCATTAGGAGCTCAGAGATCTAGGGGAAGGGAAGAGAAACAGCAGTAAACTGGTCTTCTCAGTGAATAGATGCGCAGGGAGGAGGGGGGGGTGTCAGCAGAAGGTTGATTATTGGAGCAGCCAGAAAACTGACCATGCTGTGCTCCCATGTCTAGTGTGGTATGCTTTTATTAGGAAAAACAAGGGTACTGGCAGGAACACTAGGGATTTCACACAATGGAAGCATTACAAAGACAACTTTTTCATACAAGTACATGTTACAGCAGGAACATACTGTATCAGGACTATGAAATGTTGGGTTGACATTCTTTAACCACTTGCCCTCCAGAGGATTTACCCCCCTTTCTGACCAGGCCATTTTTTGGGATACGGTGTTGCGTTACTTTAACTGACAATTGTGCATCATGCAATGCTGCACCCAAATGGAATTTAGGTCCTTTTTTTTTCCCACAAATAGAGCTTTCTTTTGGTGGTATTTGATCACCTACGCGGTTTTTTTTTTTTTTTACGCTATAAACAAAAACATACCAAACATTTCGGGAAAAAAACGTTTTTTTTTACTTTTTGCTATAAAACATATTCGGTAAAAAATTTTTAAAAAATTAATTTCTTCAGAAATTTAGGCCAAAATGTATTCTGCAACATGTCTTTGCTTAAAAAAAATTAAAAATCTGCAAATGGCAGTATATATATATATATACTGGAATTTTAATTAATTTATTTTTTATACTAGTAATGGCGGTGATCAGCGACCTATAGTGGGACTGCGGCTGGCATTCTGACACAGGGTGGGAGCTCACTAACTGCCACTGACATCCCAATAACATTAACCACTTGAAGACCAGCCACTGCATTAAAACGTTTGCAGGGCGCACGGCTGCGCAAAACCAAATTTTTAAACGTGTTCTACACTCACGAGGTTTTCGCGGGCAGGGGGTGTGTGCGCGCGTGCCCGCCGACCCGTGGGTGTCACCATTTGATCCCCGAGGGATCAATCATTCGGTTTCAGCCAGTGATGTCTGGCTGAAATCGGATGATCGGTCCCGGTCCTATCCCATCCTGTGTTGACAGTTACACAGAACAGGATATGATGTCATTCTTCTCTGCCTGGGCACATTCCATTCCAGACAGAGAAGAAGACAGAAGAATTGTGAGTACAAAGCACTACACTTACAGTTAGAACACACCTAGGACACATTTAACCCCCTGAACCCCCCCCAGTTAACCCCTTCACTGCCCTGTCACCAGTGTCATTGATCAGTGAATAGATTTTTACTGATCACTGTATCAGTGTACCTGGCGACTTCCAATAGTGTTAGCGCCCCTCCCAGATAGTGCCAGTTTGCCCGCTAGTATACCAGTAATCCCATTTAACCCCTTGATTGCCCCCCCCCCCAGTTAACCCCTTCACTGCCCTGTCACCAGTGTCATTGATTACAGTGAACAGATTTTTACTGATCACTGTATTGGAAGTCAGGAAGTCACCAGTGACACTGATAGTGTTAGCGTCAGTTAGTGCCCCTCCCAGATAGCATCAGATTTCCGCTAGTACACAAGTCATCACATTTGATCCCTTGATTGCCAGGGACATGCTCACTTGCACGTTAAACCTCCATTGCTAGTATAGTGTCTGATTGGATCAATATCTTTGATCAGATCAGCGCTATACCAGTGTTCACATTACTATAGTATCCCCAAAAACGCAGCGTCAGCCCCGACACCTGCCAGCACCTGCGTTTAGCCACTACGCCCCCCCCCTTCTCCCCCAGCAAGTGCAGTGTCAGTAGATAACTGTCACTTGATACATTACACACAAAACTGCAGTGTTCACAGAATCAGACCTGATCTCTGTTAGCACTTGTCGGTAAATTGTTTGTAGTGGTTCAAGCAGTCCCTGACAGCCAGGTGCTCTTTTTCCCGTGAGTCGCACTAGGTACCTGTAAATTTAGTGGCCAAAATGTCTAACCAAAGGTACTCTAGTGAAGAGGCCTACAGGATTCTGAGCATGTCAGGTGAGAGTGAAGGGGAAGACTCCCTGACAGAATTGGGCTCAGGATACGAACCTGTAGACAGCAGCGGCACCCTGACAGATAGCTCAGATGACGGAGAAGAGGTCCCTGCTAAGATCAGGTGTACCCGACCCCATTCCCAGGTTGCTGAGGTGGTACAAACGCATGATGACTCTCATATGCAGCAGAGTGTCAGTACTAGTGCCGCACTACCTTTTGGTGAAATGGCGAGCACCAGCAGCCTAGT